CTACTAGTAACTTACTACTGGTATATTTGGGCATTTGGGAAACAAACGTGTTCGCACTGCGGCGAATTTTGCAGGATATTCGTGATATTTAACTTTGTTCAATATATTATTGTGAAAGTTCGAAGTTTAAAAACGAATATCTTATGTAATTTTATTACAATAACATACTAGCGTTCAAGTTTAATCAGACATGACTAAATGTTTGTTGTCAGTGAAGCATTTAAAAACATTCAGTGTTTTGAAGCATAGTACCAATGCTCTTGTAGCCATTGAGAATGATGAAATAAAACCTTGTGTTTATAATCGAAATCCACGTAACTTAGAAAGGATGAGAATAGCATATAAACCAAGTGGATTCCACTTAGAAGCACCGGGACGGGAATTTTGGCACAAGTAAGTAAGCTTGCTTGTATTGTAGGTGGTTCACGATGGCATTAATTAAACGTATTAAATTATTTTCAGGATAGACGTTAAACAAAATAACAGGTACGTTACAGCCAGCGTGATACATTGGACTGGTCCAAAGGTTATTGAAGCATCAACCAAAGAATGGGCCATTAAAAAATATTTATACAGGTGTGTATATGTTCAGATAAAGGGATTTAAATTACATTTACCTGTGGGTAATTTAATACTATTATTTTTTTTCGTATGGAGAAAATAAAACCCAATTGAACATGAGAGAAAATATGCTATGCTCATTCAAATATCTGGACATCAAAATAATGTAATGTACATCAAAATAATGTCCGTTTCAAGTTCAGTTCTATTTCGTGTACTTGGCACACCATGTGCAAGAATAATGCTACTGAACAATTACAAGCTGATAACTAAATATTGATCATTCCTTTTATTTATATCTCTTGTAATGTATCAAGATTATATGAAGGGTTTGGTTCTAGATTGTCATTGATGTCGTTTTATTTTCAAAATTACTTTTGCAGAATTCATAATATCGGTATAGATTGGCTAAAACTTATACCTTAAACAACAATCTCAAAGAGTAGCAGTGGAATGATGGAACATTATTTACTTACCTTTACAATTTATTGTCAATTGCCTGGATTTCTCCAGGGTTCATTTTTAGATCCTATACCCTTCGTACTATAAGTAAACAATGTACTCTTGATGATTCAAAATGAAATATTAAAAATATTATTTAAAAAAACAAAACAGTAAGTAGTGCAGTATCAGATGCTTCAAATAGGTTTCAAAAAAATTAATACTAATCTAAGAGAAAACAGTTTCAATGTATTTTTCCATGTCAAGTAAACAATGTAAACTACATTGAAAATGAACAATTTGTCAATGACTGATGTTAAGGTAAAGAAAATTTTAGTCTCTCAATCTTCAAATGGAATGCCCCTTTTAATTAATGTAACAAACTTAATTTTATTATGCTCTGTATTAGAATTCTTCCAATTTCAGACAGCTGCACACTGCTTAACATGCGAGTTTTGTGAATGTTCATTCCTGCCTCAGATGTATAAAATTCTGGCAAAACACTTTCTATAGCGCCTAGACTTTTAGAATATAGAAGAGAATTGAATGAATAATAAGGCAATCCTGTAAACCTCTGTTTATTAAGCTAGGAATTCTTACCATTGCCTTGCCTCTTGATTTACTTTTCAATGGTTTTTATCAAAAATAACTTTCTCAAGTGCGAGAACATATTTTCAGAGAATACAGATGTCTGTAACTATCACACTTGACATAATGATCATATTAATCAGGTGATAGTATCAACAATTTGCTACAAAAAAATTCACATTCACAAATACATGTACATTATTTTACATTACCAGATGATATTAAAAGATAAAAATGTATGTACTTGTTTAAGAATCAAGTAAAATTTCTTGTATTGCATAATTGTTTCTATTCAATTAGAAACCATACTGATCATCAAAAAGGAAAGTAATATTGATTTTAACTATGATATTTAATGTACCATTTGGACTATAAATGCTAAAAGGCTAATATGCCTGTAACAAGTATTGTACCTCAGCTTTTGGGTCAATGACCCCCTTCTTGGTTAGGCTTTTCGCCATTTTCCCTAATCCTTTGAGTGAATGAACAGATAGTCTCTTGTATTGCTTTTGGACATAAATTTAACTTCAGTATGTGCTCATGTTTTCTAGAGTTCAGCGAGTATTGTAGTTATTCAAATTATGGGTCTCCATGATCTCACAGCAAAGTCAATTCCTTCGTGAAGGACACTAGGGTTATATCCAAAATCTGTAGCCATTTTACCTTTTTTAAGTAGATTTTATTACACGGCAGTAAATGTTCTCTTTCCAATTCTTGCCGAAAATGATAATTTCCGCCTACATTCATAATTCAACTTGTATATGGGTCAGAGTAGAGAACTTGGAATTTAAGAAAACGTGCTCAGAATACACCTCTCCCCATAAAAACGCTTCATACAGTTTTAACTGCTTTTGACAAATAAATAAAATTAAAATAGGTTGTCATATCTTACATTGAATGCATTCTGAGAAATAGGACGATTATATCAAGCCGACATTTTTTGTAATTTGCAAAAAAAAAAAAAAAAAAAAAAAAAAAAAAAAAAAAAAAAAAAAAACTCCATAAGGGTGTCATTTCTAACCCGACCACCACAATACTTGCCCAAAATATGGTACATTACAATATTTTCTTTTGTAGAAAATGTGGTATAGGACTTTTTAAGGAAATAATCATTCAAATTCATAATTAAATAATTCTTGGTGTGAGGAGTCACATTAGAAATACTTTTTGGAGTTGGGAATAATGAACTAATTTGCTTTGCGTTAATTGACACGTCCAACAAATGCAATCAGTTGTTTTCAAGAGGGCAGTTATTTGTAGATGGATTAATAAGTGGTGAGCCAGCCCAGCAACTTGAGCCTCGCCCCTAATAAGAACTTTTTAATTTAAAAGCTGATACAAATTGGTCTTAATTCTCAAAAGGAAAATGTTGATATTGGTTTAATAATACTTGAACATACCATATTCAGTTAATACTTAATTTTTTTTTTTTGAGGGTCCATAGGCTTGTTGGCCAATTAAATTGTGTAGCGAATTTAGCCTTCAGCAATTTGAAGTTGGAATGTTTTAAAACTTAACTTTCAACAGTGATGTTATGCTTCCTTAATTTTTTCTCCTAGATGTACAGATGCAGCTGCGTATAGAAATCTCGCCAAAGTTTTTGCCCAGCGATGTCTTGAAAGTGGCATTTCAAATGTGTACTGTAACATAGATGCTCCGCCAGAAGGGAAGGTAAGGAATACTTTTGTGTAGTGAAGATTGGTTGTTGTAATTCCTTTTTTTATACTAGTGTCAATTGTTCAAATGATTTTTTTATGTCAGGTTGCAGTATTCTTGTCTGAAGTGGAAAAAGCAGGACTTTCTCTCACAGAGCCAACAAGATTTCTTCCTTGGAGACCATGGGATAGACATCGTCCAGAGAAGCCTTGGGAAGTCTTAGAATGAAAGTTTATATGGAGATTTGTATTAAAACTTTTAGGCATAACATGTTAATATGACAATATATTTCAATGTATAAAAATTGAACCTATCTCATTAAACATTTTGGAATATTTGAATTTAATGTTATTTCTCATAGAAATTATTTTTGGATGTGTAGGTGCATAAAAACAATTTAAGAAGTGGAGTTCCTGAATGAAAAGTAGAATTAACTTCATTTTTATTAAAGAAAATTGAGAGCAGATATTAAAAAAATTCCCCACTAGTTTGTATTTGAATGGATTGCAAAACACGTCATGTCTTATTGCATTCATTTGTCCACAAGTATTGGAAGCACAAGAGTGCCTATTTCAAAAACTCAACCACTGAACAGTCTTCAAATTCTCATTAACATTAAACAACACGCCTAACTTCAAAAAATCTTTTCAGATAATGCACTTGACCCATTATCATAGCAACCAACACCAGAGCTTCAAAGAATGACCACATAACTACTCTTGAGTTGGTGCTTTCATTGATGCTGCGATGAATACGATCTCTGACTTGCATATACTCTTGTTCATGTTTTACACCAGTCAATGTTGTTGACAATTCCTTAATCATGTCTTGCAGCTTATTGTGATCATCTGAAAGGCAACATATACAATTGTTAAGGAATGTGGAGCAAACACCATTGTCACAAAACAAATGGCCACTGTTACCATAGAGATCATGTACAACTAAACTGAACAAAGGTTTTAGATTATTCACTTAAATCATGTTCCTCAAGTAGCCACTATTATATTCTTGGACAGGAAATGTGGACTTAAGGTAAGATGTAAAAAGAGTACATTTGTCATAATCCAAGCTTACCTTGCCCTGTAGCCCCTGCCTGAGCAGCATCTTGATCCTTACTGGGGGCTTCTCCTATGTCCATATTGAACATCACAACTTTAGGAGTCATAGTAGACATTTTATTACTGAAACAATATGTGTAGACACCCCCCATGTGTGCTGCAAAAGTGTATTTTCCACTAGTTTCACGTTCTCCTTGATAAATTACTTTACCATCTGGTCCAATAATTTTGACATCTATGTCCAAAAAACCACCTTCAGCAATTTCAAACATCAATCCTGGAACAGATTCAGCGTCAATAACGTTATATGCATTTTGTACATACACTCATTTTGAGTTAAGTTAGTTATTTCTCTACTAACCCATTTTTGTGCCAGTTTCCACTTTGTCAAAAAAACACTCTTCAGCATGAGCATCGACGGTTATAAAGTAAGAATTTACATTTGCAGTGGTGATAGACAATAATACTAATAAGTATGAAATGACTGAATTCATTTTGATGAGTATATAACGTTGCCGCTGATTTCAGAACTTAACCAAACGCCACGTCCGTAATCTCGGAATAGTGCCAAGTAAGATTAATTGAAACTGTACCTAATTATACTTATGCTAAATAGCGGTTAAACCTGTAAATACATGATTTTTAAAATAGCAATATTATTAAACGTAATAGTAAATATCTGAATCATAGTATACTTAAGCGACGAATACCTGACATTTGGTGTGGCTAATTTTATCAACATTCGATCATGTAAGTCGATTAATGACAATCGAGATATTTTAAGTTTATAATTTGACCAATAGATGGCAGAAAGTGATGAGTTAAATAATTCCAATTTCTGGAAAATTTAAAATGAACATTATCCGAAAAAGAAAATCAAGAAAACATTTTTTTTAAATCAAAAGAATTAACTTTAGTGTAGTATCCCCAAACAGGTAGAATTTCCCTTTGTACAAGAATTCTGGCGGCTAGTTCCCTAGTCTGCACATTTAGGACAGTTCGAAGTTTGGGAAAATTAGATAATATTTTTCATTGTTTCTTGTACGTTAGCTTTACCACACTTTTCAATGTGAAATTTGTTTAATTTTAACGTTTAATACAAAATATTTTTACAGGCACAGATGGACTTGCTTTCTCAGTCGCATGTGATGTGTTATTTGAAATGGCATTGGAGATTTAGCTGTGTGACGTAAGTGGCGGAAGGACACAAGTTGAGGGTGCATTTCTTATTGACGAACTATTTTCAGTGTTGGCGGGCGCGGCCATCTTAGTTATCCGTGTAATAGTGGTCGTCTTGTGCATTGCGTGTGAAATCCGAGTTCATCCGTCATGTCGGAAAGAGAAGATAACGTTTATAAGGCCAAATTGGCTGAACAAGCCGAGAGATATGATGGTAAGTAGCAGTAGATGTGCGAAATGCTGTGCGAGTCTAGGAATTTGCTTTCGAAAGTAGCCGACTCCTCTGAGGGGAATAATGGATTCAACCAATGGTCTACTGACAGGATCCTGCTTTACTTTCGTCGTTAAACTGCTTAGTTACTGTTATTGCTATCTTTTTCTGAAAGAATATTAATTTCAAAGATGAAAACGCAATAGAAATTATAGTATCTACATCAGAGGGGTTTGCAGAAATTTCATGGTAGATCCTCTTAACGATGAGGGCAAGGCCCTAAGATCGATGCGTCATCAGTGGATCTTGACCATTTAGGTTATTTAGAATATATGTACGGAAGTATGATTGTGCGATTTTAAAGCAAAGTATTAATGTTTCTTCTGCCAAAATTTATATTTCGTAAAGTGTAGACTCCGCCCACGCAGTAATTTTCCGACAGCCGTTGCGGTTCATCAGTTAAATTTCATACATATATTTTGATTAATTTCATGGTTTATTTCTTAAAATACAAATGCAACGAAGTATGAATGCAATGTGCATGCTAAATGTATTTTGAAAGTTCGACGATCTTCATATTTCGCTGTCAAATTTGCGAGGTGTCACTGAAAGTTTTAGATTTTTCTTAAAGTTTTTACTAACAATTAGTGTAAATGTTCCTGGAATCGTGGAATCATTCAATTCAGGTTGTTGGAACAAACAATTTGTTGTCATGGCGACTGTTCTCGCTTGCGCCGGGAGTATTGATCTGTCTGGTCGGCTCTGGATTGCCCGGTCTCCCCTGCCCTACCCCACCTTACTCGGTTCTGTTTCATAGGATATTGGACTTGAAACAGAATACCCGAATAATTTCTGAAATTTCCGATAAAGGTTCATGCAATGGTTAATAAATTGCTTTACTAAGAAAGTTTTGAATGTCCCTTAAATTAGTATATAGGTACTGATATTTGACCTAAACTGTCATGTCTGAACTATGGATTTGGAATTATAAAATTATTCAGTTATGCAGGGATTGAAGATATATTAATTAGTATAATACGATGTTCTATTAGTTGGAAAAGTTATAAAGAATACTCTGCCTGAAAGATCTTAAGAGTAAATGTGTAACTTATATTTTAGAAATGGTTGATGCAATGAAAAAAGTCGCTTCACTTGATGTGGAGTTGACAGTGGAAGAACGCAACCTCTTATCCGTGGCCTACAAGAATGTGATAGGTGCACGCCGTGCTAGCTGGAGAATAATATCATCCATAGAGCAAAAAGAAGAAAATAAGGGTGCTGAAGAGAAGCTGGAAATGATTCGAACATATAGGTCACAGGTAAAAAACAAGGACAATTATGATTGTTATCAAACATTTTGGAAGTGCATGAATTTCGCATTTTATTTCAGGTGGAAAAAGAGCTTCGGGACATTTGCTCTGATATTCTTGGGGTTTTAGATAAACACCTTATTCCCTGTGCCTCCACTGGCGAGTCTAAAGTCTTCTATTACAAAATGTGAGTATATTTAATAATTAGGTTTCATTGAATTCCATCAGTGCGATAATGAGATATATTCTTGTAGGAAAGGAGATTACCATAGATACTTGGCAGAGTTTGCCACTGGCAATGACAGAAAAGAAGCTGCAGAGAATTCATTGGTTGCTTATAAGGCAGCCAGTGACATTGCAATGACTGAACTTCCTCCTACCCACCCCATTAGGTAAGATCGCTGTTGTCATCGTCATTGTTGTTGTAGAAGTAATATTTACAGTTTGATATATGATTTGTTTTGTGTACAGGCTTGGTTTGGCCCTAAATTTCTCAGTGTTCTACTATGAGATATTGAACTCTCCGGATCGAGCTTGCAGACTTGCTAAGGCAGCATTTGATGATGCCATAGCTGAACTTGATACACTAAGTGAAGAGAGCTACAAAGATTCAACTCTCATCATGCAGCTCCTGAGAGATAATCTAACTCTGTGGACTTCAGATATGCAGGGTGATGGTAAGATTAGTTTTCTATGGGGTGAAGCAGAATTGGTTTGGGAAGGAAGCTTTTGTTTTTGTTTTTATAGATTCTTGCCTGCAGTTTAATAGAAGATACCGTTTTGAAATTGTTAATGGATTTTATGTTTTGGCATACGTATTAACTGCAAATTCTTTTAGGGTTTCAACATGTCCTTGATACATCTTTTCAAAATTTGACATAGTTTTTATTCTCATCATTGGAGTATCTCTTATAGGAAGATTTTTTGTGAAAAAGTTCGAATAATTCTTTGTTTTCAGAAATATGATTATTGCTGCTTGCTGATAATCCCCTGGCGCTTAGAATTTCAAATGCATGATCTATAAAAAATTAGAAGAATTGATTTGCAGGATAGTCTCAAGAGACTTAAAATGAAGCATTGTTCAGAATTTATCAAACCAAGAGAATGAACAACAGTGCAGTTTCTATAACAATTGACTAATCTTGCGAAATGAACTTGTTTTCTTTTATATAACATCTTTGTTTTTTTATAGATTTTTAAATTATACAATTGCTAATAAAGACCTTTTGTTCATTCGTGTATATTTACATTATTGGTAGATTTGTTGTGTTAAAAAGAGGAAGTGAATTTAGAGTTTAAGCTATGGCAAGACTTAATTCGGTTTTGTTAATTACAGGTGAGACTGAACAGAAGGAGCAACTGCAGGATGTAGAAGATCAGGACGTATCGTAACTGCTGTCTCAAAAGGGGGAAGTCATAAGGAATTTGCTGCTACCTAAAAGTCGTATAAAGTTAAAATTAAAAAATAAGGGAGGAAGAAGGAATTTTAAATATGCAAACAACGTAAAACTCTTGAAACAAAACCAAAACATCCTGATCTTTACTTTTTTCTGTGGTGGCAAAGCCAATGGAATGCTGAATGCTATCCAGTTCTTGGCTGCTCATGTGAACTTGGACACAAAGAAAAATCCTTAATATGATGGAATGAGCTACTCCTGTACTGCTGTACCCTGTGGGGGGAAGGGATGCTAGAGGGTGGGGTGAGATTGCAGCCGATGAGCTTGTTCCAGATTGGTTGCCAACATAAAAACAATGTAATTTTTGTTAAATGTGAAGATAACAATTGAATTTGTTCTAGATGGTAATATTGCATGGTTTCTGTATTCTGCAGTATTATGTAGGTTATTGCAATATACAGATTTTTTAAACTAAGAAGGTGGAATTCGTTGTTCTAATATGGTTAAAGAGCATTCTTTATTATGCTAAACTGTTCCACTTTCTTAGGAGAGGTCAAAATTGTGTGTTTAGAAGTTTGTTGGTTTGATACTCGACTTGATGTAATTTAATTCTAGTTCGTTAATCATTCCAAGGAAATGTGCATTTTGTTTTTTAATTTTATTTTTTTAACTGTATTAATGTGAAGTATTAAGAGATATAGCTTGGTATTTTGTTTTTTGGATGATGCTTTCTACCATACCTCTCCCCCTCAGTCAAGTAGAAGAGACTAAATCCAACCTTTTCATTGGTACTTAAGAAACAACTCCTCATCTTGGGGCCATACCATGAATAGAAGTGCTGGCATTTATTTGTAGAGTCTTAATTTGAATCTTGGCTCTCTTGCTGTTGACAGCATTGTACTTCCTGCGCTTTCACCCTGAAAGGTGTGTGGGATCAACCTCCCCCCCTGCTAAGTGTAACTTTTTTAATGACAGTATCAAAACTTGATGTGAAAATTGTACTTTATAGCAATACCAAAATGAATGAAACAGCTTATAAAAATGTTTAATTTGTGACACCTTTCCCTTTCAAATACATTTGTGTGATTTTTTGATTTGCTATATAGTAATGCTGTGACAGTCTTTTTTTTTTTATAGTCAACTTAACATGGTTTTTGCAAATATAAAGACTGGATTAAACATCACATGCATATTCATGCTCCTGCTAGGGGGAAAAAAATCTTTAATGTAATGGTTGCATGAATCTGTCAAATGCACACTGAAAATTGTTCTGTGGACTTGGCACATAAACATACTGAAATGGTTTAAGATAAGCTTTCACACTTCAAAATTGAACTTGCAAGTGTGTGGGAGCCCTGGTGTAATCTGCTCTGATACTGCCAAAAATAGTGCAATTTGTAGTACATGAAATGCTGCATCTAATTTGTTGGCTTTGGTGCTGTAAACATTACTATGCTATTTATAAAAGGGAATTGTTTTTAATCTCTTCATAATGTTAAGTGACTATTTTATCAGTGCGTTTGCAAAAGCATTCTAAACACGTCAACTTGTAAGTGGAATATAAAGGGCTATTAATTTACAACACATCACAACATAATTTCTGCATCTACATGGCTGTGTTGAAAAACGCTAATTAAAAAAGAAACTTGTAATCCTAGTAGGCACAGCAGTTGAAAAACTGCTTGATTTGTATGCAAGCTTTGTTTTCTGGTCTTTGTACTTTTTTTTTTGTTGTTGTGCTTCTGCAAATTATTTTTGCTTAATCTCTCCTCCCCTACAAAAACTGTGTTCCTTTGCAGGATTAATATTGAGTGTCAAGAATGGACACTTTCCATGAAACTAAAAAACAGTGAATAGCTTATTTTTCATACTTCATAGTTGTAGATTCACTGATTCTCAACTTTAATTACATAACTACTATCAAAATAAAAGTCAAGAAATAGACTGATCAATTTATCCTAAATTGTTGTGAACTCTGTATTATTTTAAGTGTGCAGGAATTGAAATGTGATTAGGACCTTTTAGTATAATAAATAAATTTGAAATATTAGTTGAGAATCATTGACTAGACTCACATCCTCATTAAGTTGCATTTTCCCCGGTGCTTGAAGTGGGGTATTTATATGTTATGAGTGAGCCTTGAAATAAAAATCCCATGAAATTGAATTGTGAATTTTTCATAAAGAAATGAGAAACATGATAAAAAGTCAAATGTGTATTATATAAATCCAACGCCATTGTGTTTTGAAAAACATTGTGGTACTAGGAATAATTTAATAAATGTTAATTGTCACAGAGATTTATTGTTATAATACCTCTTCCAAATGAAAGTGAAAGCAGCTGAATTGTACTATGATTTTAGTGCCAAACGTGAGGAAGATTATAACAGTTGAACTGATGTGCATTTTAAATATTCTTTAGTGCATTTATGTATCAAATAATTTTTTCATAAAAGTGTTATGTATCTGAACTGGAGACAACCAAATTTTGAGACTCCTCTATTTAGTTAAATTGAAACCACGTTTGATTGGGACAATCCATTCACTTCATGTGGGGGAAGGTGATTTTTGTATTTCTATGGAAAGTAAACCTTCCTCACCCTCTGCTGCTAAATTAGTTTTGCAATAGGATTGGTATGCACACTGTTACTTGTATTTGACCTTGAAACTCCCTAAAACTTTTCAGTCAGGCCTTTTTTTTTCACCTGGGAATTTTAAATTGATTGGAGGATTATATTTAGAATTTTTCAACCTTTACATTATTGTGTCAAACTTCACAAATTTGTATGTGTTTAAAGGCATCGAAAATAAAAAAAACTTGGCATCAGTTTTAGTTACAGTACTAATAGCCACATGCTTCTTTAATAGTATTGTTCAAAGTGCATTGGTTGCATATGAGGTTTAATTTTACTAATGATAGAATTTTGTATTCTTCAAAACGGAAAGTGTCTAACTTAATTCTCGCAAATTTAATTAGATTTGTCAATTCAAAATAATTTTTTGAATATCACATGGTGTATTTCAAAGTGTATTTGCTGATTGCACTAATGCTAAGAGCATTTGCATTGCCTGTGAAACATGTCACTTAAAATTCTCAGCAAATGAATGCAACCCATTAATCTCAGATGTAGAATATCGTTTAATTTCAGACATGACATTGACTAGTTCATTTTGTTACAAGCAAGTTAACAATGGCTACATTGCGTACAAGAATGTTCCTTGTAGTGATCTTACAAATCATTAGTTTAATCTTATTTAAAAATGTTTTTATGTATCAGGCAAAGTGACATGCTGAATAAAACATTAATTTTAGAGCTATGCTGACTTACGAATATTTTTCTCATGGTCCTCGTGCTGGCGTGTTGCGAAAATGTTCACTGAAGCAAAAAAGTTTTGAATTTCCCGCGCTTTCGTCTCAACGTATAAAACTTTAAAGGTAGAAACGTCACTAAAAGCACGCGGTCGTGATATCGAAGGCAAATAATGCCTACACGCGTCGTACATTCTGTGAAATCAATTTGGAGAACTAGGTATGCAACAATCTGTGAACAGTACTTTCTCCGTACGATAGTAAATATTACTATCATGAAAGGAGACCAGATTCTCCATGGTACTACCACAGTACTCTAGTGCGATTTGCGCACGTTTTCTTGATCCTCCAGCTCACTAGTTCTCGCTCAGCACGGCCCGGTAGAAATGTGATTTCCATCCGAAACGTCATGGCCCAGTTTGCAGTGATGACCTTCCCCTGCAACGCTGACTTGTGTTTTTCTTTTTCTCTCTAACGACCTTTGCGTACCATGTTCTTGTTATTCAATAATTTCAATTAATAATTATTTCTTTGGAATTTCAATAAAACCCTGCCTTGTTGCTCATTGCAATCTAGTCCAAGACGCTATTAGTTTTCTGTCGAAGTTGACAGTTCTGCAGTACGAAGACTGGATCCACCTCTCCCGCGTCGCTCGATGTATAGTATGAAGAAAAAATGTGCGTATAGTATAAGTTTAAGTGCGAAGTGCAGCTCCAAATAAATCGAAGTTTTATTTATATATATATATATATATATA